GAGGACGCCGGATCGAGTGACTAATACCCAACGCTTTGCAGGAAGTTGAGACTTGACGATTGAGTGGAAGATTCGGCAGTCTATTGAAGTTGACAAAGCAAAGAAAACTTTAAATTGCGGAGAGGAGTGTAGGGAAGTAAACAACAGCTGCCTCTGACCATTGGGTAGAATTAAAGAGAGGAAGAAACAACGTGAAGAGTGACCAGTAAGGGAAGAACTGGTTAAAATTAAATCAATTGTATTATGAGTAGTGTGAACAAGTAGCACATATGCATAAACGACGTAATATTGCAGGATCATTTGCTAGGTTATTTGCCTGATGAAACAGCTACTACCCCATCCGCTCCCTCTTCGTGCTCCAACGTGACGCATATGCAAGCATGTGAGGAGAAGCATGAAGAAGAAGCTAAATGTTTGGTATGCTTTGTTAAGATCGCAGAGTTGGGGACAAAAATTGAGTAGGATTTCAGTCAGCCACGAAAGGTTAGCAGACAGACTGTTGAGCCGAATCCAGCAGTCCTATCTCCGAAGCGGTCCATCTTTGTTTTTTGGTGAGACCAATTCACGAATCTCTTCCGCCGGCCTTCTAGACGAAAGGAAAGATCAATTAGTATGGGCTTGTTTGAAGACTAGCTACTCTTCAAATCTGAGAAATTACGCAATCCCGGTCTGAAAGGTAATCCTTCTTGCGAGTAATATTCCACAAAGCTTCGAGGGAAAAAGTGAATAAGAAATAGTCTCTTTCGAAAGACTCATAGACCTGGTAAGATGTCATGCTAAAGTGTCATCAAATTCTTCAAAGAAATGTTCTAGTGAGCCAATTGTTGAATTTGGTACGACAAGTTGCTCTGCTTCATGTCGTTTGCTAATTCTGAGCCGAACACAATCTTGTGGTGGTTTAGCCTCAGGCTCTAAAAGTGCGTTGACCCTGAACCTCTCCAAATATTTGCTTCCTTAAAGTCGGTGTTGCTGGACGTTGTGTCGAGGCCATCTGCACTTTACGCAACAGACACGGCAATTTTTCTTTACATTTCATGCGAAATGGAATTAAGAGTGCAGGTCTGCAAAGGAAGGTCGTCTTGCTGCCGACTTTGAATGGGAATGACACAGACTCAACGTCGTTTCAAAGCCGAGCCCAACTCGCTTCTTCGCGGAGCAAAGGGAAATGTGTCACGAGTTGTGGATAAATGCGCTCCTTCCGGTTGCCCATCGACAACGCGAATAATAGCAGGACCGAGTTGTCACTGAACTCGGTATTCATAGCCAGTTCGTGCACATCACACGGCAACACGCTGCCGCCGAGCCCGAGCGCCATTGGGTCACTTGATGAGTAGCCGAGCTTATGTCAATGAAGACATCGTCTGAGACGAATGTCGATGAGGCAAACTCGTGGCTACTTTCGAGGCGAGTAGATTTCGAGATTTCCCGTCCTTACCAATCCCTTTGGGCAACCTATGGTGCCTAATCCTTTCATCCGGAATCGTAGTTGCCTGGCCCACTTGGCATTCCTATATTGTCTCTGAGTGCTGGTCTCCTAGGCTTTCTAATCTCTACGAATACAAATCTGCATAATTGGTTTTCTTGTGAGTTTTATTCAAAATAGACGATGATTAATGAAGCTGCAAGTGGAAAGCACTAGTTTCTGGCAATTGGATAACTGGAGAGCTAATGTTTAGATTCGTGCAACCAAATTAGACACTGATTCCCAAAAAGATGTACAAGGTAGTTAGGCCAATTAATAATCATACGTGTGGATGCAAATCACATTCAAGCTGCCCACTTCAAGTGAAAGTAATACGCCTATTTGTGCCTTCAGGGTCTACCAGTGCCTCCGAGTATTGAAACTCTCCGAGCAGATAAAAGGATAGCTATTATTAGCCGATCGCCTAAGAGAATCTACAAAGTGTTCAATTCAGCAACTGACTGCGTCCCATTACTTTGGGCTCAAAAAGCCTAACCGTAAGCCGCTTTTCTATCCTTCACAGACGCAGGACTCCAAGCATGGAACACCAACTTGTGAGGATTTAAGCCATAACTTGTTATTGTGACGTGCAAGATCACCCAAAATGCTATCCCCATTGTGGATTTCGAAGCAATCCATTCAATCTGAAATTCGTTTTCGGCATACAAAATCCACCTAGCAGAGGGAGAAAGTTTAACTGATAAGAAAAGTTGGAAGAAGCCAAATTGCTTTCATACCTTCGAGACAAGATTGTGAAGTCTCCCACAAATAACTATGATCTGATAGCCGTTGTTTGGAAAAGCGGCCTAAGCAGTTGAACAACTGTCCAGCGTGACACATAGAGCCTGTGAAGTATGCTTGATGTAGAACTCGTTTTCATCGTTCGTCCGCCCATTCGTACTAGCACTCATAGCAGCATCCTCTCAGGATGGTAACGCTGATAATAAATTTAATACAGACTTAAATTATACGATAATGAGTGCTTTGGAAGATGTTGAATATTCCAACATGTTTCATCAAAGATTTTCGCATCATGCATATTATGTATAAACGGTCTTCATTAGATTGACGTTTGGAAAGTTTTGCGTGTAAAGGGTAGTCATCTCTCCAAAATGAAAAAAATTGTATGTGTGGAGCTCAGTGTATATTGACTTTGTTCATTTGTATGTGCTTATACAGACACACACACGCACATATATATATATATATATATTTGTGTTAAATTCCACCCAAATAATATCATTAAACTTTGGAATTATGAATAAATTAAGCAAAAACCTACATTGAGTTAAACCATAACGCAAACTCGTGGACTTTTAACTGGCGGTTATTTGTTTAATTATTACGTGATATTATATACCGTATTTCCCCACGTATAAGCACCCCCTTTGTATAAGCCGCCCCCCAATTTTTTGACTGTGAAGTTTTGAAAAAATATTTTATTTGTGAAACAAGTTACAAAGAAAGAAA